AATACTTGTTTGCAATGGAACCAAGTCATCTATGTGTAACACCCTTGAACATATCACATGGAAGAATGTGCACAACTCCGTTATTGCATCCCATATCGAAGTTGGCAGCCCTCGTAAAGCAATATGAAGCAATCGTTGCATAAACACATGACAATCATGACTCTTGAAGCTATAAAAGCTAGAATCTTCTWGGTTCACACAACTTTCTATGTTCGAAGCATACCCGTCTGGAAACTTCAACTTCTTCAACCATGCACACACTTGTTTTACTTGTTGTTTGCTCAAACTGTACGATGACTTTGGTTTCACTACTTTGTTGCCTGACATGGCAATGTGCAAATCTCGTCGATCGCAATGAATCTCTACATCTTTTCTCGCCTTTACATTGTCTTTAGTTTTTGACGTATCCATGACGGTGTCAAAGAGATTCTCAAAAACGTTCTTCTCAATATGCATGACATCGAGGTTGTGTCGGATCAACAACGTCTTCTAATATGGCAACTCCCAAAAGATGCTTCTCTTTACCCAATTATGATTGGTTCCTAACCCGCTAATTTTTCTATTTTTTGAACTATACGGGACACCCTCATAAACAGTTGGAAGGTGACGAACGAACTCCCAGATCTCTTCACCGGTTACCTCAGGTGGTGGACCAGTTAACCCCCTATTACCTACCATAAATCCTTTTCGATCACGACGGAAAGGGTGTGTTGTAGGTAACCATCTCCGATAACAATCAAACCAACATGATTTCCCTCCATTTTTTAACTGGAAGGAATCCACCTCCCCCATGCAATATGGGCAGGCTAACTTGTCATGCGTGCTCAAACACGACAACATTGCATAAGCCAGGAAGTCGCTGACGTTTCATAGTAGTATAGCCCTCATCTCGAAATTATTCTTACGATACGCATCATACGTAAGAACACCCTCTGTATACAACATTTTTAGATTATCTATTAGCGGCCTGAGAAACACATCCAAATTCTGACCGGGGCTCTTTCTACCAGGGATGACCAATGCAAGCTTAACATACGAATCTTTCAAAGCCATCCAAAGAGGTAGATTGTAGATGGTAATAAAAACGGGCCATAGTGAATACGGATTCAAAGTTGAATTATTCGGGTTGAAACCGTCGATGCATAACCCAAGACGAACATTCCGGATCTCAAAAGCAAAGTCAGGATCCCTCATGTCGAAATGCTTCCAAGCCGCACCATCACTTAGATGTACCATTTCAGCCGGTTTCGCCCGATGATCGTAATGCCAAGTCATCTCTTTTGCGGTCTTTGGAGACATATACAATMTTTGGAGTCTTGGAACAATCGATAAGTACGTCAACACCAAGTTAGAGACCTTCTTTTGTCCACTTGCCTTGTAACGACTTTCATTGCATACTCGACAGTGGGTCAACCTAGAATCATGCTTGTAAAATAACATGCAATGGTTTTTGCAAGCATCGATCTTTTGTTTTGGCAGAGCAACATTTTTTAAACTCTTCTTCGTCTCATAGAAGTTACAAGGTAATTTATCACCCTCAGGTAGCATACGCTTAAAAACAGGAAGCACTCTATTATATGTCGTCTCGRGTACATTACATTCTGCCTTCCAATGCAACAAACTCGTCGCAGCCCCTAATTTTGAAAAAGTTTTACATCCATCCCATAAAGGTTTGTCAACAGTTTGTAACATGTTATAAAATCCTTGGGCAGAAGGATTAGGTGTTTGCTCTTCCCATGTCATGGCATCATGTACCATGTGATCGTTCACCATTTGAAAATAACTTTCATTATGATCCACTATAGGATTAGAAGATTGACCCGCGTCTTGATGAGATGCATGTAAAGAAAAGGTTTCACCATGTCCCCACCAAATGAAATAATCAGGAATGAAATCATATTTCATCAAGTGCAGTTTCACGTCTTCTCTTTCTCTATAGGCTTCGTTTCGACACTTGGAGCAAGGACATCTGATGTGGAACACTATCCCATCACGTGTAGTTGCCTTTACAACATAATCTTCATTGGCATAGGCTATGTCCAAAAAACCTTTCAAGTGTCTGATATAGGTCTGGCTCAGAGCCCCGCGATCATCATTCTTTCTATACATCCATCCTCTATCTGTCGACATATTCAATAACTACAACAAAGAAAGAAGTAGTTAGTCGACAAAATCAACGTATAGGTTTAGAGGAGTTTCAGATGACTTTAAAACTTTGACCGTAGGTGCGCATGAAATTGGCGGTCTTTGAAAGAGTTGAGAAGTCTACATGTCAAATATTGACTACTAGAAAGTCAAACTGTAGGTTCAGAGGAGTTTCAGATGACTTTAAAACTCTAAGTGTAAAGGTTTGACCACTTCAAAGTCAAACCATAGGTGCGCATGAAATTGGCGGTCTTTGAAAGAGTTGAGAAGCCTACGTGTCAAGTGTTGACTACTAGAAAGTCAAACTGTAGGTTTAGAGGAGTTTCGGATGACTTTAAAACTCTAAGTGTAAAGGTTTGACCACTTGGAAGTCAAACCGTAGGTTTAGAGGAGTTTCGGATGACTTTAAAACTCTAAGTGTAAAGGTTTGACCACTTGAAAGTCAAACCGTAGGTGCGCATGAAATTGGCGGTCTTTGAAAGAGTTGAGAAGCCTACATGTCAAGTGTTGACTACTAGAAAGTCAAACCGTAGGTTTAATGGAGTTTCGGATGACTTTAAAACTCTAAATGTAAAGGTTTGACCACTTCAAAGTCAAACCGTAGGTGCGCATGAAATTGGCGGTCTTTGAAAGAGTTAAGAAGCTTACGTGTCAAGTGTTGACTACTAGAAAGTCAAACCGTAGGTTTAGAGGAGTTTCAGATGACTTTAAAACTCTAAGTGTAAAG